TTGATCGTTAGTTGGGGCCTGGCCTCCCAAAATAGGTGTGTATATATTTATTAGGACTTTGGCATAAGGTACGTGAAGTTTGAATTGCTATGGGATTTCTATGCATGTCTAAGGTGCTAAAATTTTAAGTAGCAACCTCTGCTCTCTAAATTTTGTGCAGTTCTTATAAGATTGAATGCAGAGCCTATTGTAGAAATTCAGTGCATTTGTAGTATTTGGGATTTAAAGCATTGATGATGGGAAGGGCTTCAGATTGCCTGAAAAATGTACATGGTAAGTTAGAGTTTTTCTGTGGTTTATTTGGGACCTGTTCTCTCTGTACAATTCAGATATGAATGATTTTGCAGGCTTTTGGTTGTTTATGTTTTACTAGTTCATATCATAATTTTTTGAGTATGTGTTATGAGCAAATCACTGTGCTGTGGGTAAATACCAATAGTTCAGCCTGTGTTTTATCCTCTAAAAGCAAGGGAGATAATTTTTTTTCTTTTTTTCTTTTTTTTTTTTTTGGAGACAGGGTCTTGCTCAGTTGCCCGAGCTAGTGCAGTGGCATCATTATAGCTTACTGCAACCTTGAACTCCTGAGCTCAAGTGATCCTCCTGCCTCAGCCTCCCAAGGAGCTAGGACTACAGGCATATACCATCACATTGGCTAATTTTTTTTATTTTTTGTAGAGAGGGGACCTCATTGTGGTGCTCAGCTGGTCTCAAACTTCTGGGCTCAAGCAGTCCTCCCACCTTGGCCTCCAAAGCACTAGGATTACAGGCATGAGCCACTGTGCCCAGCCAAAAAACATTTGTTAAAGTAATCATAGCATGCAAGCTGATCCTAAAGTTCATGTGGAAATGCAAGAGACCTAGAATAGCCAAAACAATCTTGAAAAAGAACAACAAAATTGGAGGACTCGCCCTTTCCGGTTTCAAACTTACTACAAAGCTGCTGAATCAAGACAACTTAGTACTTGCATACAGGTAGATATATAGATCAATGGAATAGAATTGAGAGTCCAGAAAAGCTCTTAACATTTATGACCAACTGATGACAACTCAGTGAGGAAAGAATAGTCTTTTCAACAAATAGTACTAGGATAACTGGATTTCCACATGCAAAAGAATGAATTTAGACTCTTATTTCATACTAATATATAAAAATTAACTCAAAATGGACCATAGACCTAAAAGAGCTAAAACTGTAAAACTCCTAGAAGAAAACATCATAAATCTTCATGGCCTTGGATTAGACAGTGGTTTCTTATATATGACACCAAAGACCAAGCAACAGAAGGAAAAAAAAAAAATGGATAAATAGGATTTCATCAAAGTAAAAACCTCTGGTGCTTCAAGAAAGCGAAAAAACAAACTGTAGAATGGGAGAATATATTTGCAAGTCATATATATATATCTGATAAGAAACTTGTATCTAGAATATATAAAGGGCTTACACTTCAACAATAAAAAGACAACCCAATTTAAAACTTGGCAAAGGATTTGAATAGACATTTCTTCAGAGAAGATATACAAAACTTCAAGAAGCACACATGGGCCGGGCGCGATGGCTCACACCTGTAATCCTAGCACTCTGGGAGGCCGAGACGGGAGGATTGCTTGAGCTCAGGAGTTCGAGACCAGCCTGAGCAAGAGCGAGACCCTGTCTCTACTAAAAATTGAAAGAAATTAGCCAAACAACTAAAAATAGAAAAAATTAGCCAGGCACGGTGGCACGTGCCTGTAGTCCCAGCTACCCGGGAGGCTGAGGCAGGAGGATTGCTTGAGCCCAGGAGTTTGAGGTTGCTGTGAGCTAGGCTGATGCCATGGCACTCTAACCCAGGCAAGAGAGTGAGACTCTGCCCCTCACCCCCCAAAAAAAAAGAAGCACACGTGGAAAGATGCTTGACATTACTAGTCATTAGAGAAATGCAAATCAAAACCACAGTTAGATACCATTTCATGCTCACCAGGATGGCTGTAATCAAAAAGAGACAATAACAAATGTTGACAAGGAAGTGGAAAAATTGGAACCCTCATACATTGCTAGTAGGGATGTAATACGGTGTAGTCACTTTCGAAAACAGTTTGGCAATTCCTCAAAATCTTACAGTTATTATATGACCCAATAATTCCATTCCTAAGTATATACCTAAGAGGAATGGCTAAGTGTGGTATATCCATACAATTGAATATTATTTGGCAATGAAAAGGAATGAAGTACTGATATATATTTAATATATATAATATAATATGGATGAAAACATTATGCCAAATGAAAGAAGCCAGTCATACATGATGTCATTTATAGGAAATATGCAGAACAGGCAAATCAACAGAAATAGAAAGTAGATTGGTGGTTGCCAGGATCTGAGAAAAGGGAAGAATGACAACTAATCACTTTTGGATTCTGGATTTCTTTGAGGAGGTTGATAGAAATGTTCCAAAATTAGATAGTGGTGGTGATTGCAAAACTCTGTAAATATACTAAAAACCACCGAATTGTATACTTTAAAAAAGATGAATTTTATGGCATATAAATTATATTTCAAACCTATTACTAATTTTAAAAAACTACTACTCAAGGTATTTTGGGCATAAAGAACAAAAGAATTTCAGAAAATGGAGACATTATTTCTAGGTTGAGTGGTGGGTAAATTGAGGATTTATAAAAGAGGTATGTTTGAGTGGAGTTGCTTTTAAGGAAGATGAGCATGTAGATATGTAGCTGGATAGCACCGTGTTGCATTAATCAGAGGGAGAGAGAGCCCACTTGTGGAGGTACCCTTAGTCATTTCTTGAGTCAGTCTGACAAGGATTTCCTCTTTTAAATTATCTAGAACTGGAATTACTTTGGTTAGCTTCTGGGCCTTCTGATACCACCTTGATGAATTTGAAAGTCCTCACACACAGATACTATTGTACTCTATTTCCTGGGAAAATGAATCACAGTTTCCTAGTAAAGAGCTGTGGGGGGCTGCGAAACAATGGCGTGTGGCCCCTTGCTCAGCCAGTCACCTCTTTTTTCTTCTATTCCTCGCCACTTGTGGGGTTTTTTTGCAGTTGTTTTTTGTTTTCTCTTTCCTTCCTCTCCAATTTTTCTCTTCCTTTTTGCTCCTAACCAAGTCTGCTTCTTCCCTGTCCCTCAGCTCTACCTCCTCATCTCCAATCATAAGATAGTTTGGCACAGAAAATCACCAATATTCTTTGTGCAACATAAAGAAAGCTTCATGGAAGCTAAATGAGAGAAAACAGATTGCAAAAACCTTTCCATGAAACACATATGGAGGCATTCACATGTAGGCCATGTTAAAGAACATTTTAATGGAAAATATGCTAACTCTGATAAAGTTCTTTTCTATGTAAACTTAATATCCAAGTCATTGGGGTATAGAGAAGGCTCTCTGGGAGTATTGTTTCAAGCTTGTGACTCCAGAGCTCATAAGGATTTCAACATTCCCATCTGCCACTTGCCATTAAACTCTCTCCTGCCATTTTGATGTCTCGTGTTTTGGTGTCCTGAGTAGCAAACGTATGACCCTTGATTGCCTCAGGTACTGGATTATGAAAGGGTCACCACATTCCTGAGATACAGGGAACTAAAAGATTGTTTCATTTTCAAAGGTTCACAATGAGGCCATCAAACTGATCCCAGCTACCTAATTTATCATCTCTGCCAGACACTTTTGATCTTGGATTGCATGAAAATTACATAGCATATTGATAAGGACATTTTTTTTAATTGCTATAGGCAGTCCCATCAAAGTTAGATTTTTTTTCTAAGGACAAGAATGCACATGCAAGTGCACTGTTGCTGTGTGGGCATAGAGTTGTTGGAACTTGGAAGTCTTTTTCTTCAGTTTGTCCAGTGTTTTTTGTTTTGTTTTGTTTTTTATGGGGAGGATGTTGGTGATGTGATAGTTAAAGGCACCGAGGGTAGATGGGTGGATGGGTTTATTCTTTTGTTCAATTCAAGTGAGGTTTTTAAAGTTGCAAGGAGCCCTGATATTGAAGAACAAAGCTGTGATATCTTGAGAGGGACGGAAGGAGAGAGGAAGCCTGGGCCAGGTTTGGAGTCAGGAGGTCTGCTTTTATGGTGTTTTTTTTTTTTTAAACCTGTCACCCAGCTTAGGAGGTCTACTTTTGAATCTTAGCTCTGTCACTTACTATTTATTCAAGCCAAGTTGTTTCATCTTTCTGAGCCTGAGTTTTGCCAGACTAAAATGGGATAGTTAGGAAGATTTGTGTTGTCTGGCATATTGTATGTTGAGTCTTGTGGGGACTTTAGCGATTTTACCATTCATATTTTTAGTAATAATATTTTAATGATATATAACATTAAAACTCCTCTTTTGGTGTAAGTATAGTTCTAGAGGTATAATCTGAATAAATTACTTAAACCATAGTTTGTGAAACCTTGTTATAGCTGATAGTCTGTAAATGTAAATCAGTTGTAGTCTAGAAGTTTATGCTCAAGGTGGTGCTGTTTCCCCATAAATTGGATGATGTTTTACACTTATTTTATGTCTATCTGTTCCAAATCAAGCGAATAACTGGATATATATTTAGGACCATTTCTGCCTTCCATAGTCCCCTTTCAAGGTCCCACCCAATGTCATGTTGTAGAAATGCACATTTGTCCCATATTCCCTATAACACACATATGACAGTTGAGTCAAAGTATACTGGTTGACCTGTTACATTTTTGAAGACATTTGTTAAAACAATACATATGACAGCTTGCCTTTTGTATAATGGAGTACATTTGTTTTTTAGATCTCAAATATTTGAAAAGCTTGTAAGCCCTGGTTTCTCATAGAACAAAGGACCTAATATAGTTCTTCCCCAAACTGATTACAGTACAAGGGAAAATATTCCTGTCGAACCTCGTTTTTGCTATAATCTCTGTCAGGACCATCATATTAATCATTTCCTCCTTCTTGTCAGAAACTAGATGTGCATTTTGTAGATGTGATCATTCCGTGCTTGATGTGAATTGTTTTGTTTGTTTTTAGATCCGGGGATTTCTGTCACGGTTTGATAATGTCCTTCCTGTCAGCCTAGCATTTGACAAATGTACAGCTTGTTCTTCCAAAGTAAGTCATTTTGCATTTGAGGGACTTGTTTTTAAAAGTGAGTCCGTTAGCATTTGACCTTTGCCTTACCAGCCAGCACCACTGAAACCATTTAAGGGCCTTTTGTGGGGGAGGGGTGGGGTCTAAACAACCGGAAAGGACTTTCTTGTTTTCATTTATCTGTATTTGTTCTCATAGAGAAACCAGACTGAGAAAACTTGCTTTATAGTGTACAGAGAAAGACTGAGTTAGGTATTTTAGCCCTGTATCAAGGCTTTCATCATGGAAATTTTGGCTTGAATTTGAACTTTGGTGATCTTTGTTCCTCCCCAGAGGGTTCCCTCCTTGTGCGGACCCTCATAGAGCAATTTTTAAGCATTACCACAACGGTGGGGGATTCCAGGCAGTCTGGCTGTGTGTCTTTTGGAGATCCATATAGTGACAAAGAAAAAGTAAACAGATTAGGGGACCGGATGGGGAGCCAATAAAAGGGCCCCTTCAGCTTTGATCTTTCCAGAGGCTCTAAAAATAGAACTGGCATGTTGCCCATTGTAATGGGAAACGGCTGATGTATCTCAAAACTGTAGTGATGGCATCTCATTTTTTAATAGGCTTTGAGATACTGTCTGTGTTATTTTTACACGTATACTGTGTGTGATAGCTGACTTCCATTTGGGTGTTCCTGTAAGCCTTTCAGCGTCCAGTGATTTGACCTGAGCTTTTAAGACACACCATTCTTGATAAGTAAAGATTTCCATGTCAAAGTGCTATGCAAAATAGTACTGGGGGTCACTAATCCCCAACTGTGGCCTCTCAGTTATAATTTGGTACTTCTTTTCTGTGAAGCCTTCATCTGGCACTGTGGAAGGAATTGAATCGTGGGGAAATGCTCTCTATTCTGAGTTGACAAGCTTCCTTTGAAAACTTTACTTGAGTTATATTTTACGAGAAGCACCATTCTGACCAGTTTCTATAAAAATTGAATGTAGATTTGACAAACAATGTTGATAAATTTCATTAAATTTAGATGCTCAAAAAGTTAATTATTTTATTTTTGCTTTGAAAGTAGACTGAGCCGTATCATTACGCATCACAAGTGCCTATGTTGAGATTTAAAGTTTACCATTTATCAGTAGCTACACATGAGCTCATTCTTTCTGTAGTTTCTGTAAGATATCTTGTATGTGCTAAAGTCAGGGCCTAAAGGATGTCTACATGCACTTCTGTCTTCAGAAATGCATGTTTTAGGATTATATGCTCTTTAGTGGAGTAATTTTTTTTGAAAGGCTGAGCTTAATTGGTCTCAATATAACTTGGCAGTATTAATTTTCATATTGAAATCATTTGGCACAGGTGCCAAAAGTTTTTCTATGACTTTCTGTAGGTCTGGCTAGTCATTGAAGTAGAGATAATTGGGTTCTATAAATGAAATGCAAACATTCTTCTTGTTCTATTTCTAATTAAATTAGCCCTTTATATACTGTTTATAAAACAGTCAAAAGCATACCAGCTAACTGGGGCCCTTATATTCTTTAAAAGAGAATAGCTTTGCATTTTTCTTTCACACTTATTATACGCATTAAATTAAATGTAGGTATCACTTTTTTGTTAGCAAAATGATTTCCTCTTGGTGGTCATTTTGAGAGTCCTGCTTTACATAAACATGCTAGACGATTTAATACAAACTGACTTGGATTTTAACAGCTGTGCTATTCCCATAGCGATCACTTTTCATGTGGTCTGGGTATTAAATTTCTTTTGTGCTGAAAAGGTTGCTTCATTGGTGCACGTATTTCCTTACAGTAGAAACACAGCATTTACTTACTTGGCTACCCTCTCTATTCGCTTAGGAGAATGTCATTCTCTATTTTCTACAAACCCAACATTAATACTTTGAAATGACAGATCCAATTACATTTTCATCTCTGTGCATGTGAATTTTTCTTAATGCATATTTAGCATAATACTTTTTATACTGAGTCATATCGTAATTGTTATTGTTTCAAAAAGATTCATTGGGGCTAAAAATGACTTTTAAAAATTTGTCCTTTGACATTCATGAAGTAATTTTTTCCTTTGGTAGTTTTCAGTATTTTTGCTTTTTTTATGGAGGCCATGCTTGTGTCTTGATTTAATCACAAATAGAGACAGAAAGGTTGGAGAGGTAAGAATAAGCTCTGCTGAGTAATAATGTTCTTATTCATTACCTTGTTCATTAAATATACATATGTGTATACATCTTTTTATATAGCCTGAGGTAGAAAAGAATACACTTCTCTGCTTCTTTGGGAGGGAAGAGCAAACCATTTACCCACAAATCATTTCTTACCTTATTTGATCTTAGCTTTGACATACAGTGAGATGAATTGTTCCATCTTACAAAAAAATAGTAAAGAATCTGGGGAGGGTGGGGGAGGCAGGAGTTGAGTAATTGCTTTCATTTCAGTTTCTGTTCATTGCCTTGCAAAACTTCATAAAATGATGATATCTGTCACTGAAACTTCAAAAAAAACCTTATTTGAAGTTTATATGAGTTGTTTTTTAGTTCTACAAAGGAATTTAGAGCCAACTAGAGTACTGGGGAGTTACTACGTAGGGAAAAGTATAATTTTGAAACTAATATTCCTGAAAGAATTTCTCATAATGCATTGAGTTAGTTTGTTATTTTAGCCTTTCACCTAAATATTGTGGGGCAGTTAGGGTATCTTTTGGTTAACTTTCTACTTTGATATAATTTTAAACTTACAGAATAGTTGCAAGAATAGTACAAGGAACTCCTGTATACCTTTTACCCAGATTCACCAAATTGTTAACATTTTGCCCCATGTGTATGTGTTCTCTTCTCCCTTACCTCCTCCTTTCCTCCCTTCTCCCCGTATTTTTTTCTTGATTGGAGACATTGTGATCTTTTGCAACTGAATACTTCAATGTAAATTTCCTAAGCACTAGGACATTCTCTTACCTAAACACAATACACTTATTAAATTCAGGCAATTTAATGCTTGCTCGTTACTATTATCTAATCCACAATCTATATTGTCGTTTGTACCAGTTAATGATCGTTATAGCCTTTTTTCTCCCAGACCAGGATCAAGCATAGCATTTAGTTGTCGTGTCTCTTTGGCTTCCCTCAATCTGGAAAAATTCCTCAGCCTTTCTTTATCTTTCTTAACCTCGACATTTTGATATTTTGCTAGTTATTTTGTAGAATTTCCCTCAATTTGGATTTGCCTAATGTTTCCTTATGATTAGACTCAGGTTATGAAATTTTGGCAGGAGTACCAAAGAAGTGATGTTGTATCCTGTCAGGAGGCATGTGATATATTTTATCCCCTTTGGTGATGTTAATTTCCCCCTTTCTATATTTGTAACTACCATTCCAACAGTGAAAAACCTGACTTTCATTATCCTGAATATATTTACTCACTTGCTTAAGTCTAGAATACATAGAAACTAGTTTCAAAATCGCTAGCCCACACTACTACAGAAAATAAACCTAGTAACTAGAGTTCAATATATGTGCATGGTTTTTTTTTTCTAGGTGAAAGTAATAGACTGTGAAATGCATGAATCTTAAAATAGTTCTATAAGTTTTGACAAATGTATACACCCATGTAACCCACACTCTCCCAATCAAGATATACAGCATTGGCATCACTCCAGGAAGTTACGTGGTACCCTTTCCCAGTCACTTCCAGAGGAAGAGGGGAGAATGTTAAACATTATGACTATTCTTTCTCTATAAGGAGTAAAGCGAGGCACCTTCGGCTATTTTATGCAACAGCCTTATTTTTCAGACCCAGAATTTGACCAGAAAATTCTCTCAGATCCGCAAAAGCAAGGCTGTGCCTGAGGAGACTGTATGCAGAATTTTCTTGCTCTCATTGCGCAATTCTGTCACCTACACCTTTGTGATATTGCAGAAACAGCCTGTTACAAAGAAACAGGCAGATGGTATGCAGACTTGGTTTGCATACCATCTGCCTACAGCACAGATGTAGCAAGATGTGCCCAGAAACCTGATCTTGAGATTTTTAGTTAGTGATTAGCAACCCTAATACTATACTCATTCTGGCGTTGACCATGCGATAGGCTCTTCTGTTGATGGGTTATGACCAAACTTCTCAAAGTGACTTGCTATTAGCTTTTTGTGTGCATCTGGACATGTATCCTGAGGAGTGATAGGGAAACAGTGGGATTGGAATAATAAATACCAGGTGGTATCATCAGATGGTAAATTGTACTTTCTTTTGGCCATTGTCATAGCCAGCCTGCCCATGTATTTTTTGATATTATGTAATCCTACCTTTCTTCTGTTGTATTTCCTTGTTATTTAAGAAGCATGAAATACCTGTCACCTAAGAGTTCTGCAGATGCACCATTTAGAGGATAGAAAGGCAAATCATAGATTTGGAATGAATGGTTAGTTTTACTGTGTGTCTGTTAGCAGACATTCATTTATTCAACTGACATTTGAGTCCCTGCTGTGTGCCAGAGATACAAAGATGATTAAAATAGCCACTGTCATCAAGGAACACTATCTAGAGGGTGAGACAGCTCTATAAGCCAGTAATGATCTCTGTTACATTGGGACATGTTCCACATTGAAGGTCTGTCCTCTTGCTGTGCATCACAGTAGCAGTTAATTTTGTAAACAGGGAAGACCAGGGAAGGTCTTGCAGAGGGTGACTTCTTAGCTGATGTTAAACGAATAGGAATTTCTAGAAACACCTGGGAGACAGAACAACAGGAATTCCAGGCAGGGAGGATTGCATGTATTAATATGATAGCCAGAGGCAAAAAAGCATGGCACATTTATGAAGTTGTTCAGTGCAGCAGTTGTGACTGAGCTTGGGACACCCATTTCCCTACAAACTGTCTTCCTGTCTTTGTGAGTGCTATGTCCATTTCGGCCATTCTTTGAGTTGGATTCTGGTATACTCTGTATAACATTTGAGGCTGCCGTATTGAATTTTACAATTCCATGTAAAAACTCTTGCTCACCTAGCACGAAGCTTTGG